CAAGTGGTCAACCATTGTTTTCACACTGCTTGTCCCAAGTTGTCAACAAGTTTGGAACAAACTGTTAGCAACTTGTAACAAGCGGTTGATATTATCAAACTTGTTGCAAAGTTGTTCCGACAAGTCCGATACAATCATGTTACAACCTTGTGCCATCAACCTTGTAACATTCTTGTTATATCATGACTGTATCAGACTTGTTAGAACAACTTTGCTACAAGTCTGATAATGCCATCAAGCTTGTTACAAGTTGTTAACAGCCTGTTCCAAACTTGTTACAACAAGTCAACAACTGGGTGACAGATTTGTAACAACTTGTTTGCAGACTTGTAACAACTTGTGCTTTTTACGTGTGTATGCAATGGCTGGGACCGAGCCTAGATTGACCCTTTAATTGACACTCGACCAATAGATAAACCCGAAGGCGGTTTGCTGGATGCTCGAGTACGCATAGTAAGGGAGTGTTCATTATTTATACCCGGGGTTGGTACCGAAGAGAAATGGGTTGGGTAGGCCATTTTTCTGGGGTATAAAGGGTTGGGTAAATATTTTTTGAACAAAGCCTATGGTAGGGTAAATTATTTTCAATACAAACCTTGAATTGAACAAAATATGAAAATCCTTTATTTAACAAAATGGGTCATTCCAGGAAATATCCATTCATTCCCCACATAGAAAACTAAACTCCAACTCCCCATCCCCTATGATTATAACGAGATATGGTAGTACTGCAGGAACTTGGAGGCTTGGGAACATAATATAAACTTGTGAAGGTACAAATGATTATATTTGACATTCAGTTAGTGCACCAAATTTGCATAGTACTGTTTATACTATAGTGGCCTAGCTTGTATAATAATATATATGTATATATGTAAAATACTTGTATAATTTTGAAATTGGATTGGGTAAAATAAAAATCCAAGTCAAGCAATAGTTGGGTAGGGAAAAAAATGGTTGACCGAAAGGGTGGGTGGTTGTTTTTTTCTCTTTTCGATTAGTTTCTCTTTGGTACCAACCCCGGGAATAAATAATGAACACTCCCTAATTTCCGTATAAAATATACACTCTGTCTATGTTTTTCTCTTATGATCTACTTTTGATTACTCGTTAGTGCTGTACCAAGAAACATCAGGTAGGAAATTTCAGTTCATTAATTTGTTTTGTGTCTCAATACGTAGCTACAACAAGATTAAATACATCGTGCATAACGTGAATGTTTCATGTTTACACACTTGACGAATACAGAGCACTACAGTGAAAATCGGTATAAGATAAACACTTGATTATTCAGATGACCACATTTTGTACTTTAGCTGGGTAGAAAGCACGTTTTAGTGGCAAATAAAATGAGTTAAATGCCACAGCCTATTGAGATGTTCGTGAGTTTCAAACAGGGCATATTCCGCGAGTCAGATCGACAGATCGCTTCCAGTTTGTAATTACAAACTGGAAGCGATCTGTCGATTTGACCTATGATTTGACTCGCCGAATGCCCTGTTTGAAACTCACGAACATCTCAATGGGCTGTGGCATTTAACTCATTTTATAAAGTATTGCTGCAAGGCACGTAGTGCTACAAATATTATCTGAGTCTTTAGAAATATACAACTTAAAATATATATCAAGGTAAGATTTCGCGTGATATTTGCTAGCATGCCCGAAATTTCGTTCAAAGGAAAACCGGAAATCCGTTTTAATTAAACTTTCCTTGCGATAGACAGTAACTTAATCTTGTGTAGTCCAAATTTCGTCCTATGCTTTTCAATAAACTAGAGTACCCTCAAGGTAGGGATTGCTTCGGGCATTAAAGCAAATAGTGGAATAGAACTACAGCAAATAGCACAAATTATATATCAAGCACAGTTATTACTCGCAGCGACTAGTGAGCTGTGAGTTTAAGGCCTTAAGCCAGTAAGGAATCGATTCTTACCATGAGTGGAACTGCGAAAAAGCAATATATTATATATTAAAGTAGCCAAGACCAGGGGTTAAAGGGCAATCACAGGTGACAGATATTAAACATGTGCGTCTCATTGACATACAGGTAAATTAA